TTTCTTTCTTTAGATACGGAAGAAATAAATAGCTTCAAGCTTCAAGATGTACTTGCAAAGATTTTAATATTTCTTTTTCTGTCTATTTAATGGATCCAGCTTATTTATGAGATATTCTACATCTGCATAATATACCTGCACAATTGCTTTTGTTTCTGGTTCTGTAAATTAGAAATTGCTGTGGGCAGACAGCTTTCTTTGGCTATTTATTTTAAAATGTCCAAGCACATAAATTACTTCTTTCAAAGTCAATTGAAGTTTTTGTTTACTAAATTAGCTCCAGATCTTGCACTTATATTGCTAGTCAAGAAATACTTTAAAATGGACACAGATTTCATTCAATCCCACGCCTATTTTGAACATCTTCTGTTGCATTGTGAATGTTGGGATCTGTGGCCTTGACAGATGCCAAGATAAAAATTGTGTCAATGCACACTTTCCCATTTTCTACAGAAATCTGTGGAATTCAACACTAAACACTGAATTTGGCTCATTGACTTCCAGGCCTCAGTCATTCTTCCTTTTGCATGTTAATAGCCATAAGGCTTCTTGTGACAGTTTAGCTGTGACACTCATCCAAAATTCATCAAATCCATGCAGGCATTTGCTTTGATTTCAGTAGCTGTGCCCATGATGATCTGTAGCTGTGCAGACAAAGTTTGTTGCATGTGTTGGAATGATTTTTGGACATTCAGGAACTTAATTAATTGCAAGTAATGCAATGAAGAATGGGAGCTAATTTTTCTGGAGGTAGACTTTTACTTTCTTGGCATAAATTCTGTGCCACCTTCTAGGAGAGCTGGTTACTGCTTGGAAAAGATGATTAGCAATCAGTGAATTCATGACACTGCTGAAAATGTTTAGACAAAATGGGAACCAGGCATTTTGCAACTTCCTTGTTGTTTTACAGTTTGGTTTGTCTTGTGGACATCAGTTATTGCATGCTGATGTGTCTTATCTTCTGAAACAGAAAGCTAAAATACTGTGATATGGGAAGCAGAAGAGTTTGATTCTTGTTTTATTTTGAGCATTTTATAGTTGTATGTGCTTCTGGAAGAGCTGCTTCATTGTGAGGCTTATGAGAGTTCCATCTCTTTGTGGCAGAATACACAAATTAAACAAATCCTGGGGCAGGCTCAATTTCACCTCTAATAATGAATGGTAAATTGCTGAACCAGTACAGTTACTAGTATACCCAAGTAACCAAGTGTCTTTTTACCTCTTTCTTTTTCCTGATCATTTTTTACTTGAAAACTTTTGAAACAAGCAGTGGGTTTTTGAGATTTTTCTGAACCAGCTCCAGAAAGAGATGATCAAAATTATTTTGCCAGCATCTGAGGATATCCTTACATCCAGCCCTGGGATTGGGAGTTGCTGTCTTTTTTGAATACACTAAGCTCAAATAGGTTCTTGGCAGGTTGTGTCAGTACTAAAGATGTCTCTACACCTTCTTAATCATTTTGGTGCATTTAATTCTTGTCTGAGACTCCCACAATTCCTGCCATTAATTTAATTTCTCTTGGAGTGGAAATACTGCCATTCTCTTTTAAGGTGATTTCTTCACTAAACACCCCAAGAGTTCCCTAACTGAACAGCTGGAATTAAAGGAATTGAAAACTTCATAAGTATTTTGCCAGTCTAGACAAAACTTCAGGTTTCCCTTTGAGAAACGTTGCAAATTCATCAGTAGATGCACCTACATCCATCACAATTTCATCGTTGAATACAAACATTTATTTTTTTTTTCCTCTGGGTTTTGGTTTTTGTGTTTGTTTTTGTTATAGTAATTCCTTCATGATGAAAGACAATATTAAGACACCAAATGCTAAAAATGTTAAGGATAGTTGAAGCTACAAAATTAGCAGGGAAAGCTTAATTTCTCAGCGGTGTTTAGAGTTGAGATTTTGATTAACACCCAATTCTATCAATTATAGGAAAAAATGAATGATAGGATATGACCTACGCAAAAGGAAATGAGCACAGATGGCCCCTACAAATTTTGAGGCTTATAATAGACAAAATGAAGAGCAAGGTTGCAGGTTTTATGTGACTAAATGTACTTCTATTACTTTTACTCAATATGAACCTTATTAAGGAAGCTCTATTCTGGCATGTCAGATGTAACTTTCTGTCCATAAATTACAGTTGTTGCACACTGAGGCATTCTTTAAAGAATGTCTTCCTCCAGGTAAAAGAGAAAATTGAGTGGTGGTCACATTGTTTGCATTTCTCTTGGCAGTTGGAGCTTCGAAAATGTTCAACATTTGGACTTTGTAGGCTTTGTGCATGTTTTTGTGAGGTTTCCTTGTTTGAATTTCTTTGTTTGTTTGGGGTTTTGGTTTTTTTTTTTTCCTTTGGTTTTTTTGGAAATGTAAATACACCAGTCTTAGCCCCTTGGTTTTTTGCTAGCCATATTGGAGATAGAAATTCCAGTTCAACCTGCCAGGTGAAGCTTTTAAATAGTTATGTGTGTTTTGGAGAGAAGAAACAAACAAACAAAAAAAAAAAAAACCACAACGTGGCTCTGAAAAGGAGTTAGAATATTTGGTTCCAGTTCTAGTTTTGTACTACTGGGGTGTAAAGGGGAGAAATAATATTCTATATCTTTTGCAATATTAATTGTGTCTTCAACTCCTAAGAGAATGAGATGAAAAGAATCTGTTTCTTTTGCTATTTTTGTGGTTTCTGTATCTGTTGTGTTACCTTTTCCATAGCTTGAGTGCTTGTATTGCATCATCACTATGTGCTGCTAATTACAGTACAGCTTTTTAGAAAGAACTATTATATAAGAGGCAGTCATTCAAAAGGCTTCACATTTCTTTGGTAGTTTTTGTCCCCTTTGAAAGTGCTTACTTAAACAAATAGTACTGTTTGATTCATTGTTTGAAAAAAAAAATGGAATTAATTTCTCAACCCTTGGCAGTCTGGTGCTGAGGAACATAACAGGTGGTAACAGCTTCTTCTGAAAAGACTCATTGCTGGATAAAAGTTAAGAGCAAACCTTGAAATGACAATGCCATTTTTTCCCAGTGTCCTGAGGGGAACTCCTGAGACACCTGACATCAAAATCCTGTTAGATGCTATTTGACTTGGCCTGTTAAAACATGGCATTACTGTAGGGCTCTCTTTTTGTACCTGTAGCCTGTAGAGAACGACAGGAAGTTTCTGGAAATATTCATGAATGGTTGTGGAAGCTGCAAATTTCTGCTGAGTGGAAACCAGACTGTAACATTTTGGGAATATGCACCCAGGGACATGGAGCTGTGGTGTAATGAGAGCAGCTTCTCAGAGACTGCATTGCAGGTTGTTTGGAATGAGCACTTGACTTGCTGGTTCTTGTTTTCAAGAAAAATCACAGATGGCTCTTTTTACTCTCATACTGCACTTGGAAGGTAGAGCAGAACCACAGGCTGTGCTGAGTGGGCACTTGCACAGCTCGTGGATGGAAATTGTTAGTAAAACATGAGAACCTTCTGAAAAAGAGCAGTGCTTTAAAGACTAGGAAATTTACCTTTAAGCAGCAGGTTGTATTTTTGTTTGGAAGGTTCTTTCTCCAGCTTCGTATTTCTGATATTGCTTTGGTGCCAAATGCTGAGTTATGAAATAGCCAGCTGGATTTGCAGATAAAGCCAAGCCTGTCATTCCCTTTTCAAGCTGCTGAGGAGGTTGTACATGAGGGACTTCAGAGCTGTTGGAGGCAGGTGGATAGAGTCTTGGAGAATTCTGAGTTCAAGGTAGATTTTTGGGAGAAGACTCGTGACAGAACTTGGGAGAAGCTCTCCCAGGTTGTGTGAGGAGGGACAAACCCAGCCATCCTCAATCCAAGGACCAGAAGTGGTGAAGGCACTGAGTGGCTGAGTCTGAAGTGGCTCTTCAGAGGAATCTGATTTTGCCCAAACCGCCTTGTCCTCTTCGGGTGGCACTGGGTATGATACCAGGTAGCAAGAGCTTTTCATGGAGTATTTTTAAAAGGAAAAAAAAAAAGAGAGAGAAAATCTGTGTGAACATGAGCCTAATTCAGAAAAAATGTCAATCACCTCTGCAATGGAAGGCACATTTGAAATGTCATGCTGGGGTACCTGATATTCTAACAGGTGGTTTTCTAAAAGACTAACTTCATCTGTTTATCACATGCTGCCTAACTTAGGGAGGTTAGCTGTGGTTTTTGGTCTAGCAGACCACAAATTTAGACCTGATACTTATCAAGCCATGAGGCTATCTTTAATTATTTATGTATTTTTAGCTGGTTGATGTGCACCACTTAATTATTCACGAGAGTGACTGTGATACTGATATTCCATGTATAAGCCAAAATACAGTTTGTAAAAAGAAGAAAGTTTGCATTTTCTAGAATGAGCAAAGTGATTTTTTTGTATGAGGGAGGGAAGAGCATGACAGAATTGTCGTAATTGAAGCAGAATCCACCTCTCATCTTTTATGATTCTATTTAAGATACCTCTTTAAGGCCGGTGTGAAAAAAAAAACCCAAATAACTCTATCATATCTTCTGAGACTAAAATACTGAACTTTTTGTCGTTCTTGTTGTATGTGGATTAATACAGAAGATTATAGGTTTTTTGTTATGAAAGGCATATTTTTGTCTCATGCCATATTAATAGTATGCTTCACATCGTTGTTACAGGTCAGACGTTTCACTCATTCTCTGCTTGATTATTTTGAAGCCAGAAAATAAAAGCTACACTTTAAATATAAAGTGTACCCAAATCAAGTATTCCTTTTTTATTTTTGACAACATATCATTGTTTCCTGTGATGATACTTGAATTATGTTGTGAAAAACTATTCTATATATTGGCTTATCAGACAAATACCACCCTGATATATTTGGTCTCTGACCATATGTTGAAGTAAGCAATGTGAGCCTACAAGAAAAATTAGAGACATGCATATATCAAAAAACGTGCTCAGCTGTAGAAACGTTTCTCTATTGTTAGAATTCTCTTTTTACAAAAGCTTCTTTTTCTTCCTCTTGTGTTTTAGATATCGATGAGTGTGAAAATGACTTCTACAATGGGGGTTGTGTCCACGAGTGTATCAACATTCCAGGCAACTACAGGTGTACGTGCTACGATGGATTCATGTTAGCCCACGATGGCCACAACTGTCTTGGTAAGTGGTGAATTCTGGCAAGGGACTTTCATTTCATGGCTGTGGCAAGAAGACCTGATCTGTTTTCTGCATTTTATCATCTGGCATGTCTTCAGTAAAGACTTGATCCAGATCACCATGGATCCATTCAAACCTGTGTGTTGGCCCCGGTGTGCTTTAGGTCAGACCCTTACAGCTGTCAACTCTTAATCTCGACATGCTCAAAGCAGTATGCCCATGTTTAATATGGCTGAGGAAAACCCTGACCTCCAAAGCCTCTGCTGGGTGCTTGGCTTCTTCTTTTAGAAAGATAATATGTTAAATATACTGAATATACTCAGATATATTTTGTCTGTTTCTTTCAACTTTTGTAATCCCATTCATATCTTTTGAGCTTGCCCTTCCATTTTTTCCCCTCTCAGGCAATACAGTTCTAGGATATGGTGTATGAACATAAATTACAGAATTACAAGTAAGCCAGGAGGGAACATGTGGACAATGAAACAGGGCAGAAGAAAGACTAATCACTAATAACTGGAAGGACAGTGTCCACTGGCTGTGCAAAGCCCAGTGCAGGATCTTCATTTCTTCAGCAGTCTGAGGTTTTGGAGATCTCTATTTTTGATTCATGGCCATTGCTCTGGTTTAAATAGGGTGAGTTTATCCTAGAAGCTACATAGGTATATGTTCTTGTTATGAAATTCTTCACACCAGTTGCCTGGAAATTAACCTACCCTGCTATGTCCAGTTTCCAATAGCTTCTTATTTGTTGGTCATTTTTTGTTAAATTCTGTTGCTTAGAGACCCTTTCTCACTGTTCCCAATATAAATGCAATGACCGTGTTTTGGTACGTCCTGTGTTAATTTCAATGTGATGTTTATAAAAAAGTGTGTAAAAAGGATGTTTTTCTCTGTGTCAGCAGCAGCTCTACTTTATAAAAACTGAGATATTTGCAATGAAATTCAAGAAATGGGGCAGCGAAATATTGAAGTCCAGTATCACCAGTCTGCACTAACTGAAGCTATGAAAGAACTAGGATTTCAGGGCAAGCATTTGATTAGCCTTTCAGTAGATGTATTTTGTATTGCATTTATTTTCAAACAGAGTAATATTTGTTCAGATGGATTATCTGTCCTGACCATTGACAGGGGTTTGACTCAAATTTCCAAATTTCATTTGTTATAGAATGGACTAAAATAGATTTATTTGCCTCAGCATGAGGTAGTCAAATGATTAATCATGCAAGCGGTATTTCTTATACAATGAGGAGCCAGACATTAATTTAGAAACTAAAGAAAAACTCTATTTATTCTAATATTCATAAATTCTTACTAAAGAGAACACAGACATAATCAAATAGTTCAAGTATTTGGAATTCAACTAACTGCGCATATGTGTTGTTTCAAACAGCTTGCTAGTTTCAACTTTGTCCAAACAACTCTCATTATAGTAGGGAAAAACCCCTTTTGAGCAATGAACAGCAAAAGGAGTGACCTGATCAAGGATGAGCCATTGAAGAGAGTTGTAGGATTTTTTTGGACCTGCTGTCTGTGTTATTTCTCTCTGGTCATGAAATTAGGAGGCTAAATCTACAGAGGTAGTCACATTTCTAATTATATTTTCATTATTTGCTATTCAGGCACTTGATTATTCTTTTTAATTCAAAAAAAGGCCAACAGTAATACGAACAGGTGACTACATTGGGAATGATAGCAAAGAGCTCTCTTTCTCCCAGTGTACAACCTTAGGACACTAAAAGAGGTCACAATTGCTTTTCTAATTTTGAGACCACGGACTGGGGAGGTTGGGCCTGCAACTAATGGATAGTCTTTAGCATGTCTTAGTAAAATATCTGGGTTTACTTACAGGCATCGAAAAGAGAATTAAGGCTCCCTCCTTTCCCTCCTTCTTTCCCTCCTTGAATGAGGGACCAGACAATACTGAGAGCCAGCATGTCTGGTTGATTTGTGATAGGCACTATTTGAACAGGGAGTAAGAAGATTTTAATTGTGACAGTGACCATGCCAGTCCTGCTATGGCTGCTTGTTGTGTGCTGACTCAGATTTGGGACCATTGCTAGAAAAGAGAGAACTTTTTTTTTTTTTTTTTGATGGGATTTTTCTGCCATAATTTGCACCCCACCTTGGTGCTGGTACTGTCAGTTATACTGATTGCTGTGACAGCCTAGTGGTTCCCATTAGTAGAATATCAATTTTTGAAACAAGGGACATTCTAATCCCTTCCCTTCTTGACCAGCTTTATTTCCCTTCTCTTATGCTACCAGCAGTATGTAAATGCAGCAAGAGGTTGCAGTGAGGTCTCAAATCAAAAACAAAACCTGTATTTGCAAAACAAATTTAAACTAGGATTTCTGTAACATTTTGGAAATTGGTCTGCTCATTCCAAATATTTTCTTTTTCACCATGATGAAATTAGCCATTGATAGGAACTAAAGTTTTGGTGAGTCCACTGGTTTTCATCTGTTCTTGCTTTTTGAGAAACCACTCATTGTTCATGGATTTTATGGAGACAAAGGATGCTTCACAAGATTAGTATCAATGTTTTTCACCTTTCTTATAATGAAAAAGATTGCATCAGAACTTCTGCATGTCTTGTTTGACATCAGGATTTCTACATATCGTGCTTGACTGAGGTCTCTGCAAGGTCTTAAGCCACCTCTACTTGACAGGGTTTACATTACTTTTAAATCTTCACTGAATGTCTTTCTAGTAACATCAGTATAGCAAGATGATTAAAATTTTCTTTATAAATAGCAGACTTGGAGTATTCAATTACAGAAGATGCTGTGGGCAAGTGCTTTTTCCTGAGTACTTCCTCTAACATTTCCTTCCTTCCTCCCTTCCTTCCGCTATCATGATATCCTTGTCTAGCTAAAAATAAATATTTTTTGCACTCCCCTTAGTAGTTTTTTCTCGAAAGTTGCTCTAAATTCTGCTCTGTCGATACTAGGCTAGTATTTGGTCTCATATTTGAAATGTGGTTTCCCTTCTTGTACATGAAATACAAATCTGGGGGATTTCATAATGCTTATCTCTTCTGATGTACATAAGAATAGCCATCACCCAATTTAATTTCTCTTTTTTGTCTGTTGGTTGGGGGATTTTTTTAATGTTTTCTTTCTCCTTAGGTCTGATTTGTGATAGTCACTTTTTGAATAGGGAATAAGCATTGCTTTTTTGCATAAACAATTCCTTGCTGCCAGGCTGCACACATCCTAACTCTTTCTTTTTTTAAAGATTAGGACAGGTTCTGTGAAGTCCTCTGCTTTTTAGTAAGCATACCAACGATGGTTGCAAACTCTTCCTAGAAAGTATCAAAAAAAGATGCAAAGCAGCATGACCAAAAAAATTATTGTATTCAGAGACATACTTATTTGTAAGTTTTTCTGTGGTATTCATTGCTGTAGGAACATGCATTAATACCTTGTAAATAGTAATAAATTTGTCCTCAGAAGGTCCTGTAAGGAAAGGAAATAAAATTTTCATTGTCTTATAGATTAGTATCCAGGATAAACAGCTTAAGTTACTTCTCATTCTTCCTGCAAGGTATCTCCATGTCTACACCTGAGGCAGGAATAGACTCCTTACCCTTCTGCATCCTGATTTTATTTCAAATAGTCTGTGTAGCTTTGGTTTCTCTTACAGAAAAATAGCAATTACTAAGTTTGGACATGTGTAATATGATATCTCAATCAATTCTTTTCTATGTCTGACCTCCTGAAGATAATTATAAAAGTAGGTTTTGATGATTCAATATAGCTTATGGTTCTTCAGCAGCTTATTATTTGTCTGATTAAGAAGAATCCTGGGAAGCAGAGGGAAATTCTGGTCAGAAATCAGGACAGAAATGCAATTCCTAGTGTGCATAGTAGGTTCCATGGAGCTCCTGGCTGGAGCTGAGCAGACACGAGTGTGGCAGACACAAGCACAGTGCCAGCTGTGAATTGAATAGCAAAGTCCTGCCTGTGTCCACAACCTTCAAGGTGTGGTTGGGGCAGAAGGCCTGATTTCCCAGCCTGAATAATGGAAATTAGCTTTTTACTTGTCTGTTGTCAGATGGTACTTTGCATCTCTTGACAAAGTGACTAAGTCACATTTCCCGGTGGGAAAGGAGAGGTGGCATTTTCCCTGGAGCATCAGAACCTGCTCCAGGAGTGGTATCGATTTGCCAGCTCTGCTGGGTGCAGCAAAGCAGCAATTCCAGCCAGGCATTTGGGAGCCTGCAGCTAAAGGAGAAACTTCTGAAACCAACCAGGAGCTGATGAGGCACAGGCCTTGAGATGCCTGTTGTAAAATAGACCTTGGGATCTCAAATCAGTATAAAAGTTCCTGTTTGAAGTCACACCATTTAATTTCTTCTAAGGTCTGAGGTTAAGGTCTAAACCCAAGTGCCTGTCTTGAAGTACTCCTTTAAAATCTCTTGGATTACTTTAAGAGAGAAGAGGTTTAACCCTGACATGCAGGCTTAATTCCTGGCTGGGTGGCAGTAATCTGCAATCTGACTCAGATGAAAAAACTAACATTAGTATATACATAGAAGCACAGAATCATTTAGGTTAGAAAAGCCCTCCAAGATCATCGAGTTTAACCTTTGTATCACTGAGTCCATCTTTTAAATGTATGTATATAACATTATATTATTCAATCATTTTTCAACAAATGTTGCAGTGTTCTATGGTTTTGAGTTTGTTTTCTTTTTCTAAAATAAACCCAAACCCATTAGAAATGAAAATCTACCTGCTCCTACCCTGCTGTTCAAACACTGGGACTTGGGATTGTGGCCTCATCTGACTATTAACATAAAGTGGGAGAGTGTTGCAAATGTGTGAGAAATCATTCCTGAAGCTACCAGATGTGTCTTGTCCAGAAGTGTCACATAACTCAGGATTGCATAATAACTGGTATGATTAAAGAGATCAGTGTCTTCATTTTAATTTAGCTGTATTTTTCTTCCTCTCCTGACAGCTGTGCACAATTGTTGCTTGCCTAAACTCCAAGCA